TGATTTACTATTGATTAGACTGCGGAAGATCCGACAGTAGCTTGGAATCTCTTAAGCTGACCAAGCCCTCTCAGTCTAACTACCCGGCAGACGACTAGTCTTCACCGGGATAGAAAGCTGAGGCTATGAACACAGAACTCCACTACTGGCGTCAAGAACACCAGTATAAAGCAGTAAACTGGCTAACTCTCGTATAGCCAATCTCCTACTATCGAATGAAGAGGCTCTAACAACCAAATCAGATTCTATCTATCTCAGGTTGCAGCAGAAATTGAGAAAAGCTGACCAGACTCAAATCAATTCATTAAACATGCATCATTCGATTAAAATCAAACAGTAATATCATCCCAAGTCATTACAATCAAATCCCTAACACAAGGAACTAGGGTTCTTCATACCCAAGTGAGAGAAGGGTTCTACTCCATAGAGAGAGAAGAGAAAACAAGAATCGGATTAGTCATACTCATAACGATGAGGATAATCTGCTCCGGGACGATGATTTTCACTCCTATGACGATCTCCAAGCTCGATTCGATGAAATCCAGCTCTAAGACAGCTTTTAGGATGTGTTCTTCGCACTTTCTCTCTCTAGGGCTCTGTTTTTTGCTCTCAAAACGCGATTCTCTCCCTTTTGGCTCGGAATAAGCTCTAAAACCAGGCTTTCCCGACTCGCACGGCCAGGGTGCACGGCCGTGCAGACCACCATTCTGGTCGTGCACTCCAAAACGCAGCCGTATCATTAAGTCGGCCTCAGGCTTCTCGCACGGCCAGGTGCACGACCGTGCAGATCTTCAGGGCCTGCCCGTGCGTGGCCTCGGCATAAAGCGCACGGCCATATGGCTCAGGTGCACGGCCGTGCAGCCTCCCTGGTCTGCCCGTGCAGCTCCCCAAAAAGCTCGCCATTCGTCCGTTCTTCGTCCAATCGACCCCAGACTCGCTCCTAAGCCTTCATTCACGTACTAGGACCTGAAATATCACAAACAAGCACAACCTAGCGTGAAATCGGCCTAAAACACGAGAATCAACACCTCAAACGGTGTAAGAACGGGGGTAAAAACATGTGTAAATGACGGTCTATCAATACACTTTGGATAGCTTGGATTAAGGAGTATTGTCTTCGTAACTAGGGCTGGAAGTTTGGTACCGGTATTTGGGATATACCAAATACCGTACCGAATTTGTCTATATTTGGTATTACTTAATACACGTATTATTTCTTGGGATTGGGATTGGGATTGAATTCCAATTGTTATATGGTATTAGGGATTACGGGATTGGGATCGACATATACCAAAATACCGATTAATACCGAAATATAAGTTAGTGAGTATTTTATCCTCTCAGCTAGACTCTCTCATTCACTACTACACGATTCTCAACCACCAAGAGTGTCATTTAATTATTCATAGATCATTCCATCACTATTTCACAACTTAGAAGCCCCCATGCAACTCAAATTTGACTATCCAATTTAAGTTACTCTCGTCTCTCACCTAATCTCTTGTAATTTTCATAACACCAAAATGCAAACACTAGTATTAGTCGTCTCATAACCTCCAATTCGTCAAACTAAAGATTAACAATGACAAGAAATTGAGATGTCACCTCACCACTATTCTCCTTATCCATATCCTAGCTCTAGGCAAACTCATAACTCTTTGCTTTGTCTCTTTGCGCTAAATTAAACAACAAAATCTAATTTATATACTTAATTATTAATTGCTAAGGTAATTAATTTCGTTTTTGATAATACTGATTGGGATACTAAAGTACCGATTGGGATACCGATATATTTAGGGATTGGGATATCGAAATTATTTAGGGATTGGGATTGATTTTAGGGTGTAATTCGGTATTCGGGATTTTGGTATTTGGTATTGAAATAGCGATACCGTACCGATTTCCACCCCTATTCGTAACTTGAGTATCTGGGATGTGAAAACTCGTGGGTCCTGGGTGTGGAACAAAATTCTTAAACTAAGAGATGATGTAGCAGGGAAACTGTGTAGAACAAGCAGAGGAGTGGAGTGGGAAGGTGAGCAGATGGACAGATTCCAAATCATCAAAGTTTGGCAGAGTTTTAGGCCGTGAGTTGATATACTGATATTGTAGGGTGGCCTAAAATTTTCGGGAAAGGAGGTGTTCCTAAGAATTCTACCATTACGTGGTTGATCCTCTTAACACGAATTACTACTATGGATGTTGTGCAACATTGGAATCCTGAAGTGACAGCCTTTTTCCCTCTTTGTAGTCAGGAGTTAGAGTGTAAAAACCATCTCTTTTTTCAGTGTACCTATGTGCAGGAAGTGTGGAGCATTGTATTTTCCCTATCATGGCAGCTCCGATTTCTAGTGACTTGCAGTACGCGGTGGCTCTAGCTACTCGACGTCTCAACAAGTGCTTGGTGGGCAGAACCCTCTGGTGTCTAGTCCTGAGCGAGGTTTGGCGAGAGAGATGCAGGAGAGTCTTTGGTGGGAAGCAGTTAACGGTGGCAGAACTTGTCAAAAGGACGCAGGGAGTGATGGAAGCTAAAGAACTAAGAGACTCAAGGTTTGCTAACTCAGTTGTGCTTCATCATTGTGGTACAAAAGTGTAGCCTTGTTCGTAGTATAGTGCGGGGTTTTTGTTGCAGTTGTACTGGTCGATTTTTGTACAGATCGTATTTGATGAATAAAGATTCCATCCATTCATAAAAAAAAATACACGAAGTGACACTCTGAAAATCAGAGGACTTTTTCATCATGATTAGCAAGCCCACTAAGTCTACCGTATGTATTTTTATGGTGCTTGATACTGCAATTTTCATAGCATAGTTTGATGTAGTTTCTCAATTCTAAAATCATTGCTCTCTCCTTAATTTTCGCTAAAGGTGAATTGGTAATTAGCCAACATGAAATAAACTAATTCTATTACTACGTGTTTTGTCCTTGTATTTTTCAATTTATATTTAAATTTGTACTTTTTTATCTTTGTTCTTATCTCTTTCTAACTTCCTAAGAAATTCCCTCCATCATGCAATAGTTTGGGCCCCTTTCAGTTCACAGTACAAGGTCGCCTTTGAAAATCAATCTTTTGGTCTCTTGGCAGTTGGCACTACGTTTTTATTCTTGGGGATTTAAACTGCGCAAGTAAAAAATTACAACTCCGATATCAATCTATAACGAATAGAATGGAGTTCAATATATGGAGGTGCTGAAGGAGCATTAAAACTTGAATTTCTGGTTGAAACATACGCCTGTTGAGATTGAAGATAAAGGGGATAAAATTTTTATTGTACAACAGAGAGTGGTGGCTATTGGATCTTTAGGTTTATGTTTTTTGAAGCTATCGCAACCTAATTCTATCTTAAAACGAGGAATCATCAATTGATTTACTGAAGTAGGTCGGTCGATTATTTATTCAACCTACTGGAACTGATAGAGAGGGAGTGTCTAATTTTGTTCCTTATTACTTTGATCGAATCTATTAGTATATTGGAAGTAACCCTAATTTTATCGTTTGCTCTCAAATTGTGATGGTCACCTCTTAGCTAAGTTGTTAGCATATAGTTGACTGGAATCAACATCTCTTCATTTCTTTTTGATAAGTGGCATATTGTTCCTAAAATGAGAGCATTGAACCTTTATGTGGGATTGCGAGGTTTAAGATTTAGTGAGGGAATTTAAGTGAGCTTTTATAGTCTATCTTTCTTGACAATCAACTAACCAATTTTATTTTACTGGGGACTTAATTATAATTTTGTATCGCCTGGATAAAAAACTTGCAGGATGGAAGGCATAAACGCTTACCCTGGCAGGGCGAGTGGATCTGGCAACGTCGGTGCTCAGCTCCTTGCCCACCTACGCAATGCAAACAACGTTGCTGCCAATAGCAATCTGTGATGAAATTGACATGCGTGTCCGGAGATTTATTTGGGGTCCACTGCCGAAGCCCGTAAGATTCATCTCGTCCACTAGGAGGGCATCTCCAAACCCAAGGAAGAGGGAGGTTTGGGGCTCAGGAAAGCGCATGAGTTGAATCTCGCTTTTCTAATGAAACTTTCTTGGGTTTTTGTTAAAAAACCAAATGAGTTGTGGGTTCAAGTGTTGCAGGCTAAATACTTTAAGCAGGTTGGTGGCGCATTACAGGCAAAGTCAATGGCGCGAGCTTCTAATATCTGGCGCGGCATCAGGAAGGCGTAGCCGATTATGTCCTTGGGCATGCGTATGAGTATCAAGGACGGGCATGACACTAGTTTCTGGACGGACAGATGGGTAGATTTGGGGGAGATGCTCATTGATCACGCACTGGATGAAAGTTCCCCACCGAATCCCACCCTTCCGGTGGCGCAGTTCACAACTCCTGGTGGTGAGTGGAATATCCCACTTTTGCGTTCACATCTGCCCGAAGAGCTTGTTTTGCAGGTACTGGGCGTGCAACCCCCGAAGGAAGGGTACGGCGCTGACATTCCAATCTGGGGCCCGGAGCGAGACAACCGATTTTGGGTAAAGTCTGCGTACCAGCTCCTTACCGAAGGAGAAGAGGCTTGTAACACCTTTGACTGGCGATCCATTTGGAGATGGACAGGACCTGCACGGATCACCCATTTCCTTTGGTTAGCAGCGAGGGAGAGGCTCCTCACCAACGACGAACGACAACGGCAACATCTCTCCACCACGAACATATGCCCATAGTGTAAAACGGCCCCAGAAACAATCTTGGATGTGTTGCGAGATTGTGAATTTTTCAGGTTAACTTGGATGCAGTTCATACAACCTTCTAACCACCAGCGGTTTTTCAGATCCCACCTGCAGGATTGCATCATTCACCATGTCCGATAGGAAAAAACTAGCCTTGAGTTTGGCATTGTTTGCTGGTCCCTTTGGCAGACTAGGAATGATCGAGTCTTCGCAGGCAAGATCACGACCACTGCGGCCTTCATACACCGCGTCCGGGCATGGATAAATGTCGTGCAGAATGCCTTGGACAAAGACAGGCTCATTCACCAGCCTCGTCTGCCCATGAGAACGGAGGTGGAGATCTATTGGAAGCCGCCACCTCCCGAGTGGGTCACTCTCAACTCTGACAACTCCATTCATACTGACTCAAGCCATGCTTCGGTCGGTGGCCTGATTCGAGATCATACTGGACGCTGTCTTGCAGCGTACGCGATTAACCTAGGGAGTTGCTCTATCACCCGGGCTGAGCTGAGAGGCGCGATAGAAGGGTTGCAGTTGGCTTGGGACACGGGCCATCGACGTGCCAGGGTGGAGCTGGATTATCTTTGTGCGGTCCAGCTACTTCAGAGTTTGGACGCGCTAGACCACCAGCAGACGGACATTATCCAGAGATTCCGAGAGTTGCTCACCCGTCAATGGGAATTTGTTGTTTCCCATGTTTTTGGAGAGGGGAATAAGTGTGTTGACCATCTTGCTAGCCATGGGCATTTGTTGCCACTAGGTTACCATTCCATGTCCTGTTCTGACCCTGCATTGCTTAACTACATTATGTACGATTGCCAGGGGATCTCTGAACCCCGTTTGATTTTGAATGAAGGCTGAGATGCACAACATCCATTTATTAAAAAAAAATTATCATTTTGAAAATGAGATCAATGATACATTTTTATATTTCTCCAAATGTTCGATCTATATATTCTTTCTTTATGTATCTCGATCGAAGGATTGTCAATAACATTAAACGGGTTGATAGATTTAAACATAACATGGAAATATAAATAATCAAATACCAATATTTCGGCCAACGGGCCGGGTTATAAGCTAGTATTATTAAAGGTGAAAGCCAAAACCCGTTGCTCCATTTCAAATTTCCTGCATCGAGAGTGAAAGTAGGAATGACATTTTTGTCTTCACAACTACTTATTTCTTTCTTATTTATTCAAAAAAGAAAATATACATATGGAGATTTGAACCATGACCACTTTTAAGAGAGGAAATGGATACAACCAATCGCGCTACATATATTTGTTGTATCTTCTAAAATAAAAACATACACAAACCTAAAATCTCAAAAATCAGAAGACCTTTTCAGCGGTTAGCTAGCAACTAAATCTCTCATAAGTATTTATTTGGTGATTTGATACTTTGACTTTCATATTTTTTATTATTTTAATTGTATTTTAATACTTAATTTATATTTCAATGTATATTATAAATAGAGGATAACTTTAAAATTGCAACCCATATATCCCTTGGTTGAATATTGCATATAAAATTAGAGTATTAAATAGGTCGAAGCAATGTCAAAATTTTAAATTAGTATTAATTTTTAGAACTAACTATGAAGAAATCATGTCCTTATGCAGACTATATGGGACTGTGTCTTTTAACGTTTTAGTCGGGTTAACTGCTAAGCTTTCAACATGTTCCTAATCTGGCATGATTAGATCCAATGATCATTGTACGAGATTGAGCTTAATTATTGTATCATTTCACCATTTTTTGACATGCTAATGAATTTCAAGGACAATGACATATGTCTACGTCTAAACACAATACAATATATAAGACTGGAATTAGAAAAGTATTTTCCCGTTTCAAATTCCTACAACAAGAGCGAAAGTATGAATGATATATTTGCCTTCACAATTATTAAACTTATTTATTTGTAGAAAATAAACAAGTATTGGAATTTGAACCACTGTATCTTCCAAAAAAGACAAGAATCATAAGCTTGATTGTCAACCCAAGTTTGACATGGTTGGGCGAATCAGTTTTGCCCAAACCCGAGTATTTGTTAGGACGTTGGAGACCCAGTTGGTTATCAACCCAAACTTGGCCAAACTAAGAAAACCAGTTGAATTAGGAAATCGAGTTGATTCAACTAACTCATCTAAGCACTGAGTCACTTCAAACCGACATCATTTTCAACAAATCTAATCACTAGCTCTGTTGACATGATTCCTTTTCCTTTTCAAAGACCCATGCATCAACATACATCAACCACCCGTGTTCGGTTATCCCATAATATATTTTCCTCCTTTAGTATCGGCAGGCAGCAATACAAGTCTCAATCATCTCAAAAGCCAACACAGTTCCTTAGTAGTCAATTCCATTTTCCTTCTAGCAGCAAGGTCACATCGCCAATCAACCACATCTCAAACAAAGAATAAGCCACAAGATTAGACGAACATATATTTGGATTGAGACTTGGTGTGATTAACAAAGACCAACGTCCTCATTTCTATATATACATGAAATCGAATTGGATAAGAAGAGTAAGAACATTGAGAATGGAATATGATATGCAATGAAAAGAAGAAAAGAAAAAAGTAGAAAATGAAATGGAAAAAGATAAAAAGAAAGAGGGAAGAGATTTAGAATTAAAGCGTCATTTTAAAGCATCAGTTCCAAGTGGGAGAAAAGTATAAAAATGAAACTCAATTCCAACGAATAAGTTATATTAAATCATCATTGTATCTAAATTTATCATAGAAATTTCATAAATATCTAAGCATAATACATGTGAAATCAATAAAATTTTCTTGCACCTGGGTAAAGCTAGGCTTAACCAAGTTAATCCAATTCATCTATTAATCCTTAACCCACTTGCTTAAACGACTCATTGGTGGAATCGAGTGACAACCTTGGTCATAACAAATTAGACTAAACAAATTTTTTGTATATTTTTAATGATTTATAGGTATAATATACTCCTTTATTATATACATATATGGGGAGTTCTACGGTACCCAGGGTAAAATATGGGGTACCGCATACATTGAGTAAGAAAACGTTATCCAGAACATGAATTGACTGATATTTCGGACATGATATTATACTCTAACCCTTAAAGATCAAAATCTAGGTCTTAATTCTCTAAATCTTATACCCCAAGATCAATTTAATTAGAAACAATAATCGACGGTTATGATTCGTCCAAATATAGGCAAAAAAGTCAATGCACCATCTTAGGGTTTATATTTTATGATTTAGAGAATTAGGACCTAGGTTTCACTCATTTAAGGGTTAGGGTATAGTATCATGCCCAAAAATTCTGCTAATTCGAGGTTTAGATAGCATTTTCATACTCAATGTATGCAGTACCCCGGATTTCACCCGGGGTACCGTAGAAGGCACCATATATATATATATATATATATATCCGTTATATATATAATAATGTACTCATTGGCGTCGATGAGATCGGAGCTGCTGATGGCCGTTGAGGCCGAACCCATGTTGCTCTTGCTGCTGCCGCTACTCATCGAGCTCTTCTCCATAGGAGATATGGAGATGGAAGGATGGATGGATGGTGGGAGTGCTATGACGATGGCGATGATGATGTTCGTTCCTTCAAGCTCTTGAAGTCTTGTAAGAAACTATCGATCACTTTATGAAGCAACAGGTTCACCCTTCCTCTCATATCCCTCTCCTTTTTTCTGCTGAAAAACACCCAGAAACCAGCTACTGATGAGAAATATGAACCGCAGAAAAGAGAAGAAGAAGGAGAGCGTGGGGAGGAACCGAAAGAGGGAGAGGAAACGATAAAGAAACGGGAGAGCTTTATCAGTGAAAGAAGTTCAGGATATTAGTGACTAACTATTCGTCGAAGATTGTTATATGTACAAAGAGACAGATGGATGTAGCAAATTGAATTATATTCTCACGATTATAGACTAATATCTTTATATGAAGATAAAAGAATGAGACAACCAATCACCATAGTACCAACCAATTAGACTCAGCTTTTTGATTTTAGTTGATTTCATAATATTCTTATCATTTTTGGAATAGTGAGGTTTCTTATTTTTTAATGAATGTAATGGTGAGGTGGAAAATATTAAATTTTATTTTTTTATTTTTAATAATTTTTTAGTTGCCACGTCACTAAGTTAACGGTCAACTTTGAGAGTTGACTGCCACATCAGCAAAAGTTAACGGAGTTGGACGGAGAGTGACCAAACGTGAACAGTTTCAGTAAACTTAATTACCACCAATGGATTTAAATATTTCGAGTGACCAAACTTGAACATTTTTTGTAATCTCAGTGACCAAACCTGCTGTGGCTTTTGCAGAAGCAGCTTCTAGGTGGAGCTTTTAGATAAGTACTTTTCAAAAAAAAAAAAAAAACAGTTGAGTGTTCGGCTGTAAATCTATTAGAAGTGTTTTTTAATATGAGAGGTCGTGTAAAATGACTATAAAGGACTTATAATATAAAATATGAATAAAAATTCTAAACAATTAAAAGTAGTCAAAATGGATATTGTTAGATTTCTTTTATATTAAATAATATGCTTTTATAATTTCTTTTATTTTTAAAATGATATAAAAATTCTAAACAATTAAAAGTAGTCAAAATGGATTTTGAAAACAATCATTCACTCATGAGTAGCTGAGCTTTGAAACCAACAGCAACAAACCACCAAATCCCCAAACGCAATTTGTATTGTTATAGACCGAGGAGTTAACTATTATATGCTAATATATAATTGCTGGCCTAAGGATGCTGACATGGAACAAGTTTCAAATGATGGATTTGGATTCAGGCTTAGCTTACCTACAACTACTAATCTACGACTAATTAATCAGGATACATGGGGTACACCGGGGCAAGAACATTGCTGGCACAAATCAAAAAGTAGACAAACTTTATCTTTCATTAACTGGCAAAAAGAAACTCAGTACCTCACAATCAGTTTTCTTTTTTAGACCGGGGAATCAAGTTGCCACAACATGCTCCGATCAAACAAGCCCACAAAAAAACTTTCATTTTTTCTCTTCTCCTCTACAGCTGCCGGAAACGGAGCATTCAATGTACCTCACCTGAGGACTTTCTCAACTTCCAGCACCGTCAATATCAATCAAGTCAACCCTCTGACCTATGAGATTAACCAGGAGCTCAAGGAAGATATCCAAGGAATTAATGAGCGGATATGCAGTTATGGCGAGCCACTACTCACAGCCAATAGACATACCGGTGAGGGAGATAGCCAGGGGAAAAAGACTCAGTCAGAGTTTTTAACTCTGCCGCCCAAACCGCTAGAAAAACAACCAGTCAGGGATGGCAGCCGAGGGAGATACGCCCTAACTGCGAGAGAAGAGAGTAAAAAGGGGCCAGCAGACGATAGGAAAGTTACTCCAGCAGAGCTACAACTAACCCGATCCGCAGAAGATTTCCATATTAAGTGCAAGCAGAGGGCACCTGAGAAAAAGACAGGGAGGAGCCATCAAGCAATCATCTCCATTTATTATAAACCCAGACTGCTCCTTACAACTACTGGTAGAACTAAATGCGGGGAAGAGGCACACAAGAAACAATCTGCAGTTCGAGCCCCAATAAATTACAAACCATCCAGGGAAGGAATAAATGTCCCGCCAAGCATAATCCTCAAATGGAAATTAAGAGGATGTCTGACAAACACAAAGAAGGAAGGTTGCAGCAGGGGAGGTACAACAAGGGGGTTAGCATTCAATGCCCTGAGGAAGAGGAAGAGACTCAGGCGAGAAGGGATTTTGGCCTATATAAAGCTAGAGATCCAAGAACCTCATAATCCATATCACCAGTTTTCTTCCCAGAATAGCATAGCTGACCCCCACCA